TTATGACGACTTATGTGTATGAAATGTCACTAACGACACCACCGCTTGGATTACACTCAAACCTTAACGTGTCATAAAAAGATAAAATCATATGGAGTTGTTAACCTTAATACTAGTTCACCTTTACCGGTACCTGTACACTGGAAATTTTATTGTAAAAGTTGTTCCGAATTTTGACAAAACCCTTATTTTGAAATCCTGAACCGAAAAATAATAAAGAGAGGGAACTTCGCGCACTTCGACCCTGATGAGATCCGACACACACTAAGGTCGACACTAGACAAACCCTGTGTGTTTGTAATAAGGGTACACTTGTATAATTAAAACATATATTAAGAACACATCAAGGCCTCTCCACGAAAGATTACACAAAACAAATAAAGAAACACTGTACCCTGTTGACCCGAAGAAACATGCAGTGTACGGGAACTAAACGGCTCGCTGCAGCTCCTCCCCCCTCCGTGATTTCCTTGTTTAGCGATACACAGCCAAACACAGCCAAACTCAACCTGAACACACACAAAGTCACAGCCGAAATAAAAACAATAAGTGTGGCTTGATATTGAGTAAGAAAAAGGTTTATAGGTTGATAAACGATGTGAGAATGGATCTGCAGAGAGAATTTCACCGCGATCCCAACTGTATGTTATCAGCCTGCAGCCAGGGAGCAGAAATCAGCAGAGCTGCCTGCACTGAGTGTGTGTGTGGATTGATCAATTTGGACCAATCAGCGGGGGCTTAACGTAACGGCTCCGCGGACGTAACGTAACGGCTCCACGGATTGGCCCATTTAGTTCCGGGTACGTGCTTTCGTAAGCACGTACCCGGAAGAATCAAATGGATGATGACGTCATGATGACGTTTCACCAACGAGGCGTTTTGGGGAGGTATTTTCTGTTTTAGAGTTTTACTCGCTACAGGGTGTACTTTGAGGGTTTTGACTCTGCAGACCGTTTACATGCAGAAAAACCTTCATAACACACAAGGGGACGGGTAATAACCAGAAAAGCATGACATGTGAGCTTTAATTATACAAATGATGATTTGAGGAGTAGAAATTACTAAAAACCCTGAAACGTCCACACACTGACGTCCTCTAAACTGCACCGTTGAAAAAATACAATTCACATTTTTAAAAACGTCACTTCTGTACGCAGCACTTTTGGCTTTCTTGATTATTATTATTATTTAACGCCAATGCACTATTCGCACTAACAATGATTTGGCTTATTAAAAAAAAAAGTATTACACTATTTTAGCTTTTTTGGGTTTGTTTCTTTATGGTGTATTGCACTTTTTGCATTTCTCTTTGTAGAGAAAGCGCAAGCTAAATGTAATAGTGTAAGCAGGGACTTGCTTGCGGACAGGCAACTGCTTGGGGCCCCGGACCAGAAGGGGCCCCCAAAGAAGGTAGATTAAGAAGGTCCACAGCAACGACAACATGAAACACCCTTTAATTTACTGCAACGACATGTCGGAAACCCCCTCAAAGTGGCCCCATGCACGGCGCACCGTAAAATGCTGCTTCTTATCTTACGTTTTGTTGCCTTGCTCCGCTCCGGGGGGCCCCCACAGACTCTAGAATCGGCACTGAGTGTAAGCACTTTTACTTATAACTGTAATAACACTGTGCAGTATATATACTTTTATTTACAATGTAATACTTTTTATTACTGGCTGCTTCTTTACCACTTGTATGTTTTTCCTAGCTTTTATATTGCTGCTACTTGTATTTTTTTACCATGCATTTTATTTGAGATTTTTTTGAGGTTATGGCATTTTCAACTTATTTTATTTTGCCTTTTATCTGCATTGTCCCCTTTGCTGTTAAAATGCAAATCTCCCAACTGTGGGACGAATAAAGGATTTCTGATTTGTGATAATGAAGAAATTAAATTATTAATAAGAAATGTTTACATGTAGGCTTTGCACTTCTCAACACATGGACACATTGTGTTGAAATTAATCTTTTCAAATTGAGATTTCTTCAATAAAGAAAGAGTGACGTGGTTTATGGTTGTTGGCCTATTTAAGCTGCAGACTGTGAGTAATGCACTGAAGACCCTCTCCTGTGCCTCAAACGAAACATTACAAAACACTTTCAATTATTCAAATGTCGCTGAAAATCACAGACATTTTAGCAAAAGTTTGAGCGATTTTTTCCCAAAATGTCACCTCCAGAATAAACCATATACCTCTGTCAATAAACACACAAACTGACTTCGTATTTCCAAATAACACCAACTGTACTTTTATTCTCTACATTAATACATTAAATACATACAAACATTTTAATTGCTTTTATCAAAAGCGTCGGTTTGATACAGCCGTGTTTTACAGTCACATCCTTTTTAGTAAAATGAGAGGAAGGGAAAGTCTTTGAGCCCCTCTTCTAGGGAACTAAGGGAACATTTTAATTATATTCATACAGTAATTCTCATATTTTGGCTTTAATTTGTTGTTACTTTCTCTTCTTGTAAACTTTCTATCAAACTAAAAACACCTCTAAAAAGGCGATTTAGAAAATACAGCATTATATCTACAGCTCGTTGCTATGCATTTGGATTGTTGTCATTAAGGCGAACGCTCTACTGTTTTTTAAAAGAAGAAAATAAGTACATTTTTCTAAATTTCCAGCATTTACACTTTGTTCAAAGCCCTTATTTCCATTCGGGCTCAGAGCACGTTCGGTATTTACAGTTTGCTCATCTTCAGGTCAGCATCCCGATGTTGGGAGGAGATGTTGGAGGAGATGTTGGGAGATGTTGGGAGATGTTGGGAGATGTTGGGAGATGTTGGGAGATGTTGGGAGATGTTGAGGAGATGTTAGGAGATGATTTAGGAGATGGTGGAGGAGATGGTGGAGGAGATGGTGGAGGAGACGGTTTAGGAGACGGTTTAGGAGATGTTAGGAGATGTTAGGAGATGTTAGGAGATGTTAGGAGATGTTAGGAGATGTTAGGAGATGTTAGGAGATGTTAGGAGATGTTAGGAGATGTTAGGAGATGTTAGGAGATGTTAGGAGATGTTAGGAGATGTTGAGGAGATGATGTAGGAGATGATGTAGGAGATGATGTAGGAGATGTTTAGGCAGCGCTCAGTGTGTGCCATGCAGACACCACTTTCTCTGGGTTAGCCATCGTGTCTTTCCACTGCTCCACCGCCTCGGGGACAGGACTGTCAAACCCAGCCTGAACCTGCAGGGAACATTGGGAAAGGATATCATATCTCCTTAGCTTGATGCATTCAATCATACATCATAGGGGTTTTCTCTAGCTTAACTTGTTGTGGAATGACCATTATCTCAAATGTATTTTTTTACCACAAAACGTTTCCTCAGGAACAAGAATGTTGCATTTCTAAAGCAGAGTCCAGGGTCTAAATTAAGGTCCGGGGGACACTATTTATCCCCACAAAGAGTTATTACTTGTACTGGGAAGTAGCCAAGCCCCCAGGAAGCACATTTTTCGTAGCGGTCAAACTGTGGAAATACATGTCATTCACGATAAGCCATGGGGACAAAATACCTTTTCCTATTGACTGAAAGAATCGTCTGTAAATCAGCGAGGTAAACCAACTACCCAGGACATGCGCTTATTCAAACATGAGTTCCTAAAAGTGATAAAATGTGCTAAAAGCCAAACTTATAGTTGCTTTTCCTCCTCCATTCATTTTACCGAGCTCCTGGGAAAATACAAGTCTGCATGCTCCATAGTCCTCATGGATGTGCCTGAAGATTGCCTGAAGATTGCTTGACATCATACCAAGTGTACCAGTGTGCTTAATCCAGGTTCACTGATGATTTGCCTTATTAAAAACTAATTTCATTACACTATTTTGAGTTAGTTTCTTCATGGTTTATAGCACTCTTTGCAAGTCTGTTTGTATAAACGCACGAGCTAAATTAAATGCAATGTAGTGTAAGCACTTTTACTTATAACTGTAAAACACTGCAGTATACACTTTATGTAATACTTGTTATTACTTCTCTACCCCTTGTATATGTTTCCTAGCTTTTATAATGCTGCTACTTATATTTGTTACCATGCATGTTATTAGACTTTTTTATTCTTAAAGGGGAACTATTATGGGTTCATATTTGTCGTAGCATTAGCCAAAGAAGTGCGAGTGTCCAATAGTGATGTCACTATGTCCCGGAAGTAAACATTAAAGGTGGGGTAGGTAAGTTTGAGAAACCGGCTCGAGTGCGCTAGAATTTGAAAATACACAACCGGAAAAAATCTGCCACTTCCTTACAGAGCCCCTCCTCCAACACACACGAACGCGCACATGACCAATGAGGGCACGAGATAAGTTTGTGCACAGATGGAAGGCTGACAGGCAGGTAGGCCATCCAGTTACTTTAGCCGGGCCGGCTCAGAGGATTGGTCGTGCTTTTTACAGCGCCACGGCTTCCACAGATGAATTTTTATTATGGATTTTCTGTCAAAGCACTTCAGATATTCATTGCTATCGGGATGTTAAGAGCATTCCATGGAATATAACAAAAAGTGTATCTCGAGCGCGGTTTCTCAAACTTACCTACCCCACCTTTAAGGCATGGATGTATAATAAGAACTGGATACAGAAGTGGGAGGCGGGGTCTCGTTCTTTCCTATGAGAGCTGCTCATTGGCGCATGAAGGCAAAATGCCCAACTTTTGAGAGAGCGAAACGTCACAGATTACCCATCATGCCTAGCTGTCGGAGCAGAAGAACCCGTATGTGCGCTCACAGAGCATGCGCCCCTTAAGCCCCCGCCCTCAAGATCCCACTCTCGGCTCACTAGAATGAATGGGAGAGGAAATAAATCTAGATTTGGCTTTTAGTGCACGTTACAACTTTAAGGACCTAATGATTCTAATAAGGGCTATAAGATAGTTCATATGGGTAGTTAATTTAGTTTAAAAAAAAATATCCACCGATTTACAGACGTCTCTTTACCAATGTTAGTCAATGCGGGAAAGTTATTTCTGGGCCCAGTGACCGTCACGGACTGATACGAAATTGGTACGAGCCGCCATTCTTGGACACTACAAATATTTTTCCTCTGAGTCCGGAGCAGCGCTTCCTGGGGGCTTGGTTTGAGGCTGTCCCCTTTTTGCTTGTTATAATGTAAATCTCCGCCACTGTGGGAGGAGCCCAGTAAAGGATTCTGTTTGTGAAAACATAGACAGACCAGTAAAATGTTTTGTGTTTCTTTCAAGGAGTCTTTATGTCTTACCCTGTCCGAGACACGTTTTCTCAGCGACCGAGCTCCGGGCTGTACAGTTGAGGACCGTCAGAGAGGCAGGCTGGTCCAACGCCTGGGCCAACATGAAGTGAAACCTCTCTTCCACTGACACTGCCCCCCCGACGCCTTCAGGACACGAGTCTTCTTCTTTATACCACCGACCCAACTGGTGCATCTCCACTTTTGACGAAGAACACTTCAGCGACGTAGAAACAACAATATGGTTTAGTCACAGGCAGAGGTGGGAAAGTAGTGGACGTATAGCTATTGTTATAACGTACATGTTTCTGCTTAAATCAGTACTTTAACTGCCACTTACTTTATTTTTTCTGACCGACTTTTACTTTCTACTTCTTACATGTCTGAACACAAAACCTGTACTTTTCTACTTCTTACATGTTTGCAACCAAATACCCTTGTACTAACTTCTAACTATCTTGATCAAATCCTGATCGACTTCTTACCTGTTAATCACAAAATACCTGTACTTTCTACTTCTTACATGTTGAACTCAATAGCCTGTACTTTCTACTTCTCCACATTATCCCAACAGACTGGTTCTTCTAGTTTTGAAATGTGTTTGGAGCGTGAAACTTACTATTCTAGCATTGCTCACCTATTGATTTGAACACGAACACGTGTATTGATCACTTCTGGTCTTCTGTAACAGAGGGATACTGTATTTCTACTTACTTACATGTTTATATCACAAATACCTTGTATTTCTACTTCTTTACATGTGAAGTCAAGATACTGTATCTTTATACTTTCATTACATGTTGAACTCAAATACTGTACTTTTCTACTTCTTACATTTTCACAAACGGCTGGTTCTTTAGTTTGAATTGGTGTGTTGGGTGCGTGTCTATTTAATTATCTTATGAGTCAATTGCTGCTATTGATTCTGACACGATCGTGTACCATCATGTTGTCCTCGGTCTTTCTGAAAAGAAGGAAGGGACCCAATGAAAACGTTGTCATGTTGCACGTTGTTTCAGCATGGAAACATTTCATTAGCTACAACTTGACATTATTGTTCCTATAATATAAAAGGGAGGTCAGGTACTCTTTCAAATCAGCTGCTAGCTTATGGTACATTTTTACTGTAAGTACATTTCAAAGCTCCCCCCTCTTTACATTTTACCTTGACGCTAACACGAAGTTTAGTACAGTACTCTACTTTTACCAGAGTATTTTAGACAACACCAGCACGTCATCCCCCCCATGTACATCCCCCTCTACTCTGAGTAACCACCGCGACTGTGTGTACTCTTCTGCCACTCTGGTCACCCCAGCCACTGTTTTTTAATTCCTTGTAGTAAACATGAAACCATAAAATTACAATACCTTGGTAAGAGGAGAGGAGGATTGCTGGAGAATTTTTGCGCGGCGAGACATCTGGAGTTGGGGATGGCGTCCGTTGACGGCTGAAAGCAGGTGGTGAGATTGCAGCTCAGAGTGGCACCCTGAAAGAAAATAATGAGTTAAATCTGAATAATTAGGCTTTTAAAAAAGTGGTGTTTTGGATGAATTGACATAACATTTTCATGTTCCCTCATTAATTGATGTACCAAAAAAAGGCCGAAATCATTTGCAAAACATTATGATTTGTGTGGAAACATTTTCATTAATAAGTATTTTTTTTTTATTTGTTGACCGTCCTTTCTCTTTCTTGATCCTCCTTAGCACGTCATTACAGTCCTTGACATTGCGGTCTGTTCCTACTGGATTAAACAACGTGTTCACATGTCTCTGAATTGACCAATCAGAAAATTATTTTAGCCCTCCGGTATTGTTCATGGTTGAATGATGGGGCCGCAAACATGTTTTTGATTCTTAAAGTGGCCCTGAGTTGAAAAAGGTTGGGAACCCGCTGCTTAGGGGGTTCCTTTGTTGGCAATTATGTTTTAATGATGCGTGTTACTTATTACAATAAGTGTAATAATAAAATGTTTTGGATTTTCTTTTCTAGGACCCAAGCATCAACAAGAAAACTCAAAAAAAGATTATAAACATGTGTTTACCGTTTAGCACATCGGTGAGTGATTAGCATTGTTATTTCTTCATGTGACTCCCTTGAATAAATCGGCTAGAGCAGCTTAGCATATACAGGCTTCAGGGACCAGCTGTGTCAGTTGTTAGAGTTTGTGGCTTTAAAGCAGGGTGTCAAACTTCAATACACAGTGGGCAAAAATTAAAAAAATGGGTACTAGTCGAGGGCCGGACTGGTTCAATGTTTATTGCAAAACTTATTGAAATGAACTTATTGCACATATTAAACCTGGAACTAACAAAGCTTAAATGATTGCCTATAAAAACAACATTAAACATTAAATAATCAGTTGCATTCATTTCTTATGGCTCTATCTGCAGCTTTTCCAGAGTCATTTCTTATGATTACATTTTCCCACAGGCCAACAACAGCTTCAACAAAACTATTTCCCTCAAAGAGAAACCAAACATGCCCTGTTGTCTCAAGAAAGAAAGTGCAGAAGGAAACATCCATTAAACTCAGTGTGCTGCTCTGTGATGCTAGTTCAGATACTTGGCATCTCATCTCGGGTGCAAGGTCATCAATGTTTGGGCTCAGGCTCTGAGCTGAGGAGACCCTCAGGATGGAGTGAAGGTGTGCGTGCAATATACCGGCGGGCCAGATCTAATAGGAATTAGAAATTATCCTGCGGGCCGAAATTAAATCCACCAAGGGCCTGATTTGGCCCCCGGGCCTTGGGTTTGACACATGTGCTTTAAAGCTACAACATTGACCTTTCATTATGGGCCAAAAAAATGTAACTTAAAAAAGAAAAGTGCCATCGAATGTACAGACTGCATGAACCATTTTTGAGGTGTTTAAATCCAACCAGCAGTCAGTTGAGGTGCTTAATTTGTAACCTTTAAATACAGCGCTCCAACCGGATCGTATGTATTTCTCAACATCAGAACAAAGAATTGGTTTCCTTCAACTTGCGGTCTAGGTTTGATATTTACCTATTTATATTCTGACGGTAATTTGGAGAATTTGTGGCTTTTGTGTCCAGCAGATCACTCACTGAATTTAATGATGATACACTGTCTGACAGCTTAGAGCAGAAACAGTTCATATTTGACTTTCACTAGCCAGACATGCATCCATTTATTAACCAAACAGAACCTGGTTGTTAAAATGGTTTGGCCTACTTTCAATTTCCCCCCAAATGTCCTCGATAATAAATCAAATGTATTTTCCTGTAATAATGAAACAACGTAAGGTCTTCCTGGTACAGAACATATTTTGTTACAATGCATGGGGACCGTTTTATAAGGCACACATGGTGCTCTGCTCTTATTTACTGTGCACATACAAAGGAGCGATAAAAGACAGCAGCCCACAGAGGAAACGGTGGAGAATAAATAATAAAAGTTCAGGATATTCCCAGACTTCAGGTTCTTTCCTGTTGCGAACAACACCTGGACAGCCGGTTAAATTATAATCAGCGGGCTCTTTAAGCTGACTCAATTTGGTCAATATCTCAACATAAAAAGCATAATTGGGCCTCTTTAAAGAAAAACACATGGAAATGATATAAAAAAGACAGCAACGTTTTTCGTCCTCCGTAATTTAACTATCTCCTCCTAGGGACTTTATCCGAACGACTCCAAATTCGGCGGGTAGCGTCTCGAAACATGGGCGATGATCACTGAACTTTTTTTCTTTTGCACAGCGTAGGTGAAAGGTTGATAATATTTGTTGTATTATTAAACCCCATTAATGATTACACTGATGTAATCTTCGGAGTGTTGCTTTTGTGTTGAGATAATATTCATGTAGTTCCTGGCAAATGTTCTCAAACTGTGTTACTATTTGCAAAACCAGTGATGGAAAAAGAGCAAAAATCGACATTTGTGCCTGTAACGACGAGACGCCGTTACTGCTATTTATTAAATGGCATTAATTATATAAGTGTTCACCCCTCATCTTGTCTGCACATTTATACAGAATATGTTAATAACACATGGGACTCACAGAGGATTTGGACTTGAGGTTGAGCTCCAGCCAGTGCTCGGTCTCCTGGGAGTCGAGCTGCCTCAGGGAGAGGACACACTCGGCCACCGTACGTTTCTTTGGGTTGTGTGTCTGCAGCCGCAAAACTAAAGCACTGCAGCGCAACTGCTGGAGACGCAGCGCAAACACAAAGGTCTCCATGAAGGAAACATCCTGCAGAGCGAAAGAGAGGAAGAATGAAGTAAAAACTCTAAATTACACAGGAACAATCTGCAAAAAATGCACCAAGAATAACATCGCTGCATGGAAAAAGTCACCTTTAAAGCTGGGCTTCCACTCCATTCGTATATAATAATCTCATCGTTACCTGTTGATACTCCTTGATGGAGCTCTTGAACTGTATTGGTTTGGGGATGGTGATGATGCCTTTAAATCCAATCTTTGGTTGTTCCCCTCCATCTGGAAAAGTGTAGAGGTCTGAACTCTGATAAGGAAAGAGAGAAAAAGGAAGTTTTAATCGAGGCAGGTCAAATCCATTTATCGCTTACACTGCTCTTAAGCAAACTACATAGTAACAAGGACATGTATATAAACAAAAAAAATAGTTTGATACTGTATATCAATCCTGTCTTGTGTGTTTCTTATATTTCTCAAGTTAATAGGCTGTTAAGTGTTTGAAGTACTCTTGGAAAACCGTTATTTAGGTATAATATACTTCAGTTATGCTCCCGTAAAGACTCAATTTTTAACATAATGTTAAATAAAAAAAGCATTTGTGCGAACCCATTGCCCTGTCATTGTCGATTAAAATGTCTCAATAGATTGTTCAAGTAATGATGTGACCTTAGGACTAAAATGAACCACAACCGAAACCCGAATCTTGGGTGGGTAAGAGGTGCCCATTTTTATTATTTTGCCCCTGTCCAATGAAGAATTAGTGCACGCCTCTGCATTAAGACACTACAGGTGAATAGGGTGGACATTTAACTAATAGATATCACCATGAAACTTCCCCACTTTATTACTGACATTAACACAATATTTTGTATCACAAGTTTTCATATATGTTATGTTTAAATATGCAAATGAGGCATTATGTTTTGCTTACTTTTGGTGAATTTAGGAGAAATCTACAGACATAAACCGACAAAGTTAGTCAAATAAACTCATAAATGTGTATTTGGATGTTTTCTTTACACTAGTCTGGAAGAAAACGTGTTATGGACATGTAACATGTTTTTGCCTGTTGTGTCACTTGTTGCATGCATGCACAGATACGCTGATCACTGTGTTGCAGCATCAATGAGGACAGTTCTGCATCTCAAATAAAATCCACTTGCGAGTGTCCGAGCCGAAGTTAATAGAGCACTGAGAGGAGCAAACAGAGCCCTGTGTTCTGGACATACAGAGGGTCCATTGAGAAAAAGCAGCAGAGGAGCACAAAGGAGCTTTTTGTTGCTCTCATGCTCCCCTCTCCTCCCTGCAGGTAACCTTACCTGAACCAGAGTGATCCACACCTGCTCCAGAGCCTCCTGGTAGCTCAGCCGGACGCACACTTTCCCCAATTCACGCTCATCTCCCGACAGCGTGATGGAGTCTGTAACACCACAGCAACATGAGTAAAAAATGATTCAGCTCCTATTAAATACTTCCTGGAATAACCCACTCTTTATGTAAGAAGGCTTATCTCTGAGGCTCAAAGCTGCACCTGAGTGAAATCGTTTGCAAGTGATTACCGTGTCGGCCTTTTCATGACTGCACAATGCAGCGCGATTATAATCAGACTTAATAGAGGGTTTGAAAGGCGTTCAAAAGTGTTGAAGACGGAGACAAATCTGTATTTAAGTTACCTAGGCTGCTTTCAATTGAGCCAATCGTGGAAGAGGTGCTGCTGAGTCGGCTGGAGAACAAGTCGAAGGGCTGAGGGGGAAAAAACACAGAGATAGTCAGGATTCAGTTAACACTTGAATTGTTAGAAATTAAAATCAATGTTTTGATGGTATAATGTAGCTTAAACATACCGTCAGTTTAAACGCTCTTTTATACTGAAACACCAGAAATTCTTGTGCACAAGCAGTTAAGTTTTTATTCTGAAAATCCTTCATCTACGGTTAGCATTTAGCATGTGGCTAATATACGATTTCCTAAAGAGGTGAATTGAGTAGCGAAATGACATGGAGTGGTGCAAACCGAAACCTACTGATTTAACACTACAACTATAGATGTCGAGATACTACCATGCTGAATATTAAATGAAAGTATAGTTTATTTGAATACATTATTGTTTACAGACGAGAGTAGCATGTGACAACATCCGGAAACCAAACCAGCCGTGAAGTATTTTCTGTATATTTTGGAGTATTGATTACAGCGTTTAGAATGTGTTACATGAAAAGTGATGAAAGAGAATATGAGGAGAAAAGGCGGGTTAAGCATATATTGAATGTGAAAAGTACCAATCCTCTGTTTAAATGCAACAACGGACATTAGAGACGAGGCGAGCCGGCTGGCGGGGAGGAGCCAGCAGAGGATATATATAGCAGCACCGGACGAGGGATTCGCTCTCTTCTCTTCTTGCTCATGAGAGCCAGATCACAGCTGTTTTCTGCCTGAACAATATTCTGTCTGTAACACTACCGCGCCTTTTTTAATTAAAGTATCCCATTTGAATCTTTTCAGAGACTCCATTTAGTCTCATTTTAAAGCTTCTCTCCTGGACGCGAGAATAAAGAACATATTTAACAGAACCAAAAAAACTATTTAACAAGACTCTACAGCCAGGCTAGAATCTTAGTGAAGCTTTACAGTACATGCAGCTACATGCTAATGAGGTTTAGCATCGTACTGTCTGCTATCTTAGTTTAGCATGCTTTTTCGCTTAAAATACGAAATGTAAAAGCAAGTCCTATCTTTTCCAGCAATGCAGTCTTCAACCTAAGTAATTTACAAGCTAATTAAAGATGGATAAAATGGCACAGCATCAAATGTTCGTTCTTTGTCGCCTTTTGTATTAGCAAAAGTTGTGGAGAGTACCCTGTACTTTTTAGGTAAACTCTCAATCCAGGTTTAAAACAACTTGTGTTTAGAAAAAGTCAGCAGGTAACCAAAGTCAATAGGATTTATCCTCTGGGGAGCATAAATGCCTCTCCTATCCTTTATTCTTGTTTGTTTAATTCATACATAAATCACTATAGTGTGAGTTGTCATATTTTACGATGTCGACTCGTACATGTGAAAGCAAAGCAAATATTTAAACAACAATATCATATACTTCCCTGTGTGTTGACATGCATAACTGCTGACATGACGAATAGATCAAAGTAAAAGATTAACAGTATTTTCACAGCTTACACTATTTGTTCAGTTTTATTTCCTGTAGTTGCTGCTAATAAATAATTGGTTTATCCGTTTAGCGCAATACTGTAGTATTACTTTAATAATTTATATCTGCTGCTATGCATATTTCTAATTATAGCAACATTGCTGATACACTGCAACTGCCCTTTCAATTTCACAACATATGAACACATTTAATATAAAAAAAAGCCTCATTTTCATGACAATCCAACCAACAGATGTCCATACGTTTCCCTTATAACCACAAATGTTAACCTCATTGTGGCGCTAGAGGAGAAAGCCAGGCTATTAACGTTTTCAGGATTTATTCCTCTGGGGACCACGAATGTCTGTACCAATTATAATGCCAATCCAACCAAGATCAGTCGAGACATTTTACTGATAAACAGATATGTCAACCTTCTTGTTGCGCTAGTTCAGGGGTCGGCAACCCACAGCCCTTTAAGCCCTCTGCTCTGGCTCCCTTGAGTTTAGACGAAAATAAGAAGGAAATAAAATAAAAGTATTTGTAGGACTATTATATTTTGTTGCATGGTTGAAAATGTTTCGTATCTTGTATTTTGAGGTGATACTGTGACACATAAATAAAAAACAAAACGGTTTTAATTAGGTAAACTAAAATATGCGTCACATCCTGCTACGGTCCCGCGCGAGCGCCTTTTCTTGGAGGCGAATAACCTGACCCCCGGCCCGATGAGCGAACTATGGATAAATAAATAAAAATTACCGGAGGAAGCAAGCGATGCTGGTTTACCGGTATGTTTGATATGTAGAGAGAAGTTGTCAACGGTGCTGCAGCCTTTACGTATCAAGGAACAACAAGGGAGAGGAAGACAGCTGACAATCTTCAGTCATAATTCAATGGGGTATGTAATTTATTTCAGAAAACACTTTTTGTTATATTCCATGGAATGCTCTTAACGTCCCGATAGCAATGAATATATTAAATGCTTTGACAATAAATACATACAAAAATTCATCTCTGGAAGCCGTAGCGCTGTAAAAAGCACGACCAATCATTTTAGCCGGCCCGGCTAAAGTAACTGGATGGCCTACCTGCCTGTCAGCCTTCCATCTGTGCACAAACTTATCTCGTGCCCTCATTGATGTGCGCGTTCGTGTGTGTTGGAGGAGGGGCTCTGTAAGAAAGTCTAAAGGAAGAGGCAGATTTTTTCCGGTTGTGTATTTTCAAATTCTAGCGCACTCGAGCTGGTTTCTCCATTCTTACCTACCCTACCTTTAACTCTTTTTAGGGTGCAGCTATATGTTTTATTTATTTCAAAGTGGGCCCATTTTAATAATATTTTTTTTTCCTTCAAATGTGCAGAGGACTCCCCAAGTGCTGTGTTTAATTTATTTTAAAGTAGGCCTGTGTATTATTTTTAATTCTCCTTATAGGAGTTCTTTGTTTCTTATTAGAGGTTAACAGTTTTATATAATGTAATAAATAGCGTAATAAATGCAAAAAAAACTGTAGTTTTTGTCTGAAATAAAAATAAATACAACTTTATTAGCTATCAAGCTATGAAATATGTTTTGCGTCTCCAGACAAAAAAATGTTTTGGAAAAAGGAGCAAAATGGCTCTTTTGGTCAAAAAGGTTGCAGACCCCTGCACTAGTCGAAAAACATCCCAATGTCTATATGATTTATCCTCTGGGGACCATGAATGTCTGTACCAAATGTTACGCTAATCCAGTCTAAAATCTCAAATTGGTTATTGTTTCTTTACCTGTTCTATTTATTTCCCATTTTCATTCTCTAAGCCCGGCTTTATTTGTTTACTGTTGGGTCTATTACCAAGGTGATGTGATCATAACTTACTACTGTTTGCTCATAATGTTGCCAAGCTAAACAGTCAGTGTAGTTGAACAGTAATTGTGCAACTACTCCACGTTGCTCTGAGTAATAAGAGAGTGAGAGGTGTCCATGATGCATTAAGGCTTCTGTGATTATTTAAGTGTTTATCAAGCAAGGCGTTAAATTGATTGAAAAAGCCGTCGTCAGTAATAAGAAACTGTTGAGAAGTCAGGCGTAAAACACCACAACAGAACAAAGAAATACGCCCTGGAAAATTGTTTTCTTACTGTATTACTGATTAAACTGCACTTTGACCGAGACATTGAATCATACATCGCAAAACAGAGATGCATTCAGGGACAGCCGCTAAACGGGATGAACAAGTGCGGATTTAATCTCCAGTTTCCTTATCATCTATTCCACATAAGGATTAATTTCAGAATGACTCATAAACTTAACTCCATTATTCATAACTGTAATTAAAAAAGATTGGGGTGCAATGTTGAAGGCAGTATTCAGATCCTTTATTTAAGTAGTAATACTTATATCACAGTGTAAAATTACAAGTACAATTACTGTATTGAAAATGCTACTTAAAGTGGACCTATCATGCTATTTTTAGGCAATAGCAAAGGTCTCAGATATATAAAAAAATATGTCTATGAAGTGTTTTGCTCAAAATACCAAACAGATCACCCATTCTAGCCATGCCTCATATCCCTCTATTTCACTTCCTGTTTCAAAAGGGCTGATTTGGGTATAAAGCTTTTTTTTTTTTTTAAATTGATAAAATAAAAAAGGAGGGGTCTGAGCTCATGCGGGACCCGGCAGCTACTGTCTAAACTAAATACTGCCGTGATAAAACGCCATATCATGGATTATCAAGGATTATTTCTGAAACAGTATGGAGCTCAAAGGCTTTCTCTCTTGCCGGTTATACCACAAGGTGAGTTCCTTTTTACTTCCTGCTTCTTCACACACATGCTCTCCAGTACAGGTTAGCTCTGAGTGTTAGCGATGCTAATGTAAACAAAGACCATATTACGTCCAAAACAGTCGGGCATTGTTTCTGATAGCAACGTTTCTGATAGGGCCGTGGGTCCACATTTCAGATAATACGTCATATCGGACGCAAATCTGGATCAGCTCTGTTTTTAGAGATATGCGTACGGAGGAAAAGAGAGAGGGTTTTATTTTTCTGACACTGCGTGAGTTCCCCGACACACCGGGGACACATCTTTATGTAGAAAAGACATCAAAAAGTGCATTTTGCATGATAGGTCCCCTTCAAGTAAAAGTGAAGTAAGTTTACTCTGCAAAACTATCCAAAGCATCAAATAAAAAACACTTAAAATAAACAAAAGTTCAATTTTTTAATTCAAAAATCTTTGTTATTAAACTAACTATAGTTGTCAAATAAATTAAGTGAAGTAAAAAGTACAATATATCCATTTGAATTTAGTGCGGAAGGTGTAAAAAAGAAAATACTCAAGTTTCCACTAAATATAAATAATTAATTGAAGGTTCTTTGTTAGAATGTTACCATTGCAAATGGGATATAATTGATTTAATTAAATACACAGTTTAATAGTTAAATACCTTCTTATCTTGGTGAGGCATTTCTCCTTGTAAAATAAAGTTATTTGTAGTGAAATTGAGTCTTAAAGTCGTATCAATTAATTCAATTAATTCAACTTTACCCTTAACCTCAGAGCAGTTATTTCAAATCTAAAATGTGTATTTATTTTTTGCTTATCTGATAATATGTAAAGGTTTTGGGAAATGTGTTTCCGTCAAGAGGACAAGGTCACTCTCATATCAGTCAAGTCAATATTGGGCTAAGGCCAATAGCATGTTAGCTTAGCATAAAGACTGGAAACAGGTGGAAACATCTAAAAGGTAGCAACTTCCTTGTACCATCACTTTAAAAACTCAGCCATTAGGATATATCCTTGTTTGTTTAATGCATATAAAAAAAAAAAATTGATACCATTATCAAATCAGTCAAGTCAACATTGGGCTACAGCCAATAGCATGTTAGCTTAGTTTAGCAGACAGACTGGAAACGGATGGCAACAGCTAGCCTAGCTACATCTAATGGTCATAAGTTCCTCCTACTATCACCTTAAAAACTCAGTCATTAACATGTTGAATTTTTGTTTTTTATATATATGCAATAAAAGATCGATTACCACTTTCATATCAGTCAAGTCAATATTGGGCTAGCATGTTAGCTTAGCTTAACATAAAGACTGGAAACAGGTGGAAACAGCTAGCCGAGCTACATCTAAAAAGGTACCTACCAGCACCTTTACAGCTCATTAATAACAGGTTTTATCTTTCTTTGTTTAATTCATACATAAATCAATATGTGTGATATTTTACGATGTCGTATATGGGAAAGCAAAGCAAATATTTAAACAACAATTATCATATACTTCCCTGTGTGTTGACATGCATAGCTGCTGACAGGATGAAAGGATAACATTAAGAGTATGTTCACAGCTCACACTATTTGTTCAGTTTTATTTCCTGTAGTTGATGCTAATAAATAATTGTTTTATTCGTTTAGCAGAATAATGTAGTATTACTTAAATAATTTATATCTGCTGCTATGCATATGTCTAATTATAGCAACATTGCTGATATACTGCAATTGCCCTTTCAATTTCACAACATATAAACGCATTTAATATAAAAAAGCCTCAGCAGATATACGATTATTTTTCAACCCCTGAGGATAAAATGACCCCCCAAACGTCCCCACCTTAAATCAAAATACCAGCTGTCCTGGCTTGTTTTCACTGTTCCACTTTCTGCAAAGTACAGTGGAAAGTATTTAACTATTTTGAGTGTTGGTTGACAGAGGGTGAGAAACGGTGTGACTGTAGATTAGATAACGTCTCACCTGCATGTGAGGGCTAGACAGGTCGAACATGGAGCTGCTGAGTCGCTGCTCACCGGACGGTTTCTGAGACCAGCCTGGAGGGTCAAAATATCAGAAAATATTAACATCGTTTCATTCGATTTCTCTGTTATTTATTCAATGCAATTTCTTAACCATATACTGAACGTTTCTCTCTATAACTGCAGACAAACTGTACATCAGGACTAACTGTTTTATTGGTGTATATTCTAAATTTATCTACAATGATAAAAAAAAAATGCATGTCGAAATCAGTTTCACAATACATTTTAATTGTATTTTTCTATTTAAATTAAAAATAATAATAATTTCTTGTTTTTATGTTGTCTTTTTTCTTGACTTATAAACATTGTGAGTCACATCTTAAAGGTCACCTATTATGCAAAATCCACTTTTTCCTGTCTTTTATACATAAACATGTGATTCCCTCTCTTCTTGTCCTGATCCATTTATATAAAAACCTGATCAGATTTTGGCCACTTTATGATGTCATAACGATTTGTTGGCTTGTGTAACCATTAGCCAATCAGCAACCAAGGTAACCCCCCCCCCCCACCTTATCACCTGAATCTCCTCCTAGAGCACCATTGAGTTCTTTTTAACCAAATGTCTCTCAGAGGGGCGTGGGGAGCTCCTTATTTTCATCTAAAGTAACAGACAGAGAATCAGCACTTTTGGAAAACAGGGCTGAAACAGAGGGTGATTATGGGGTAATGCTGCAAATGGATCTGTTTGGTGCTTAGAGCCAATCAAGAGACATGTTGTATATATCTGAGACCTATAAGTAAAGTAATGAAAAACGCCAGTATTAGATAGGGGGACCTTTAAAAGCGCATGGCATGAAGTTTTAAATGGACCTGCCGGCGGCCTCGTGGTTGTTACCTGGACTCTGGGGGCCGGACTCTTTGGTCCTTCAGGGCTCGGCGCCTGTCGCCGGCGGTTCGACCGCGGTGAAGAGTACGCGGCACCTGGCCCTGGTGGAAGGCTGCGGCCTCCGAGGCTGTGTTAGGTGAACTGAGAGGACCCAGCAGCTCAGCGCTTCCTCTCTGCATATGTGCACCGAGCTGAAACCTGCAGACCACACCAGCCAGCCGGGGGGTCAAGTCACACCTCCATTTGATGAAATGATTCTTTAAAAAAGGTCACCCTATTATGCAAGAATCCACTTTCTCAGGTGTCTTCTTTTTTGTTATTCAAAATTTTTATTAGGGAATACAGATCATAGAAAAACTACCAGACACCAAAGCATAACCAAAAATATAAACATATATCAACTCTCCAATACTGCAAAAGGAGAATAGTAATCAATAATCAGTTAACATGAATTAAATGATAATTCTGCAATAGCGGGTTGTAATATTCATTAATAACAACAACAAAAAAGAATAAAAATAATGAAAATACAATAATAAACATAAATAGACGATATACAAAGAATTAAAAAAAAAAAAAAAAAAACCACAGAGGATATATTCCTAACAAAGAATCAAGTAATGTTTACAACCGAGTAGCCTCAAACTTGAACATGGGGTCAGGTGTTTATACAAGTGTCTAATAACAAATTCAAGATTAATCCGATCTGACTGTAGAATATTAGCCCTCAACCAATGAAGCCAACAATTCTCAGGACTTGTCCCTTTCAGTCTCACACACCCCACAGATCAGTCCTCAACCTCACAGTAGGTGCCAATCCGTGATGCAA